TGAAGATTTCGTGCAGTCATCATCTTTGATTTACATTTTGACGCACCATCATTTTTACCACCCTCGAGAACCATGAAAACGACACCCATGACGATAAATTAAAAATTTTGTACAGCCGCCATCTTGGATTTACATTTTTACAGCACCATCGGCTTTATTGACCTCGAAAACCATGAAAACGACACCCATGATGATAAATAGAATATTTCATACAGCCGCCATCTTGGATTTACATTTTAACAGCATCATCGGTTTTACCACCCTCAACAACCATGAAAACAACACCCATGACCATAAGTTCAATATTTTGTGCAGACGCCATCTTGGATTTACATTTTGACAATACCATCGGCTTTATCAACCTTTGAAAACCGTGAAAACGATACCCATGACGATAAATAGAAAATTTCGTATAGCCGCCATCTTGGATTTACATTTTGATAGCACCGTCGGCTTTATCACCCTCGAAAACCATGAAAACGACACCCATGATGATAAATTGAAAATTTCGTACAGTCGCCATCTTGGATTTACATTTTGACAGCACCATCGGTTTCATCTTTCTCGAATATGATTATTACGACCACCCATGCATGACGACTTCATGTAGAACGTCTCGCATTGAAAATCCGTTCAGCCGCCGTGTCGTAAGAATCTCAAAAAAGCCCTGCTCAATTCCACTTGCTGATTTTATTACTTTATCCAAGTCTTCGAAGATATTATTCATAATAGCTAGTCATTAATTGATTAATTCTACTTCATTTATCACTGACCAAATTTTGTAGATTTTATTTGCCAGTCATTACGAATAATATCAAACTAATCACTTTGGCTGTAACATAAAGTCTCAGTAGTAGTAATAGTAGAAGTTTTTAAAGTCCGTTAAAAATAACAAAGGTCTGGGGTTCATAGGCTCTTGCACTATATGGATTGTCAAATCATTATTTTTTACGGCAACGCTAGGACTAAAAAATATTGAAACATTACAATAATAATTTTATTTAGTTAATAAATAACTGTAAAGCTAATATTGTTAATAATTAGATATTGATATTAAATACTTTTTTATATTTTCTCCTTATTTCTATAAAATAGTATGCATGTAGTTTGTACTATTTATTACTGTCCTATAATATGTATACTTTTTGCTTGATGAAAGAAAAGAAACAAAAACAAAAATTTGAAATGTCAAAATTGTAAGAATTTTTTGCCAAAATTATTATTATTTAATAATTTTCGTGATGGGAATTTGTAAAAAAGGAAGTTCTGAAATGTGTGTTGTATTTTCTATAAAGGATCTTTTGTATACATATATGTCGCAGAATCAACAAAGATGCACAACTATCGAGTATCGTTATTTTAGAACAACGCCATCTGTTATCATTTGTCGGAAACGTCA